TTTTTTTTTTTTGAGACAGGTCTCACTGTGTAGTTCATGCTGGCCTTAAACGCATTATATAGTGAAAGCTGGCCTTGAATTCACAGCAATCCTCTTGTCTCAGCCTCTCGAGTGCTGTCATTATAGGGTGGCATCACTATGCCTCGTTTATGTATTTTTATGTTAGTAAATACTTTGAAATGGTTCTCCAAAATACTGTAGTTTGCTCATTCTCCCCACCCATATATTTAAATATATATCATAATAAGCACTTATCAGTCTTGGGTTTTGCTAACTAATGTGAAAAGCTTTAGCTTTGTTACTTTAATTTGCATTTTGGACTTGGACATACTTTTGCTTGTGCTTATATTTGTTGTTTATGTGTTTATCTGCTAATATTCTTTATCTGTTTTTACTGTAGCTTTTAAAAATTGGTTTCAATGAGGTGGGTATGTATAAGTTTTGGATAATGATTCTGCATGTTCATTTTTTGGGGTGGTACTAGGGATGGAATCCAAGGGCTCTCTCCCACTGAACTACATCCTCAGTTCACACTTCTCCCATTTTTGAGACAGAGTCTTGTTAAATGATATAGTAAAGAGTCTTGCTTAAATGATCTTACCACAGCTGTTAGGACTCAAACTTTTGCTCCTTCTGCCTTAGACTCCCACAAGTACTAGGATTACAGGTGTATGCCATACTGCCTGGTTTGCCTGTACTTTTTAAGATATATTTTTGTTAGTGCCTATCAATTTTACAAAATACTGAGTTTCAATCTGTATAGTATTTGTTGTTGTTTTCCCATTTCCCTCCCTCTCTTCAACCCCTTGATTTGTGTGTGTGTGTGTGTGTGTGTGTGGCCAGCTCAGCCCACCAGAGGGTGGGGCTGGCTGGCATGTGGTGCTGGGGGATTGAACGGTGGTCCCTGTGCTTTGCTTAGCTTAGCTTGTTCTAAGTAGGTGCTTTAGACCACTGAGCCATCTCCCCAGCCCCCCTTCTTAAATTTTGAATATTCTGGGAAAAAAAGTTTTTCATTCTTACTGCTATAAATTTCAACAGTTTTTTTATGGCAGTGAATATAGTTTATTAGTTAAATTATTGTACTTTAGATTTTTAGAAAACTTGGAGCAGTGCCAGCCTAACTTAGTTTATATCCTAGGGCTTCTTCATTGTCATCAATTTATTGATTCTTAAGTATTGTTTCATGTGGGGTAATAGAAGTGAATATTCCTTTACAATCTAGGGTAGGGCTGGGGAGATAGCTTGACAGTCTAAGCACCTGCCTGGCAAGCACAAGGTCCCGACTTTGATCCCCATTACTGCATGCTATACTTTCCCCGGAACCCTGGGCATGATGGCGCACGTCTGTAATCCCAGTACTGGGCAGGCTGAGACAGGAGGATTAGTATGAGCCCAAACAGTGGAGCAAATACAGCGACCCTGTATTAATTAATCAATCAATTATTTTTTAAAAAGGAACCTAGGGTAACGAACACCTCTTTCTTTAGATTGCAGATCTGGCCTGGCTATGCAGCTAGCATCCGGAGGACAGATGGAGGTCTTTTTCTGCTAGCTGATGTCTCCCATAAGGTCATTCGGAATGATTCTGTGCTGGATTTCATGTGAGTGGTGGGATCTACCTTTAACATGGTTGTGATATTCTGAAAAGTTCAACAGTAGCTGATCATAATATAAGGTAGATATTTTTCTTTTTGGAGTTTTATGTTTTGACATTGCTGGGGATTAAAGCCAGGGCCTTGCATATACTAGGCAAGCACTCTGTTACTGAGCTACATTCCCAGCTGTGTGTTTGGATTTTTAATTGTAGAATGGGCTAAGAAAACCAAATGGTGTGTGCTTTTGTCCCTAGTTACTACTGACATGGACACACAGACGTCAGGTGTACATGGAGGACTCATATCTCCATGTTATCTAAATCAAATTAGACCTAGCTTTGAGCTCATATTTTCTAAGATAGAAGTCCTGTTTCGGGCATTCCCTCTATTATGTCACGTATGGACTGTGGGTGAACCTAATTCTTACACAGCAGTGGTGCCTCTGCACTAAGCCCCAGAGCATGTTCATGGCTTCTGGGGGACCCCTGCAACTAGTATGGCCACCCTTTGGACCCTGTGTCTTTTGTGTTCTTACAGCCTCCAGGGAATGGCAAAAGAGCAGTTACTTCCTGGAGCTCAAAAGAGTTCTGTCTTTAGACTCAGGGCAGCTTTTCCCTTCCTTACTGGGAAATTGTTTGCATACTTCTAACAAGTAATGAGCCAACTAAAGTTTACCAAATAAGGTTAAATGTCGTATGTCACCATTATGTTCTCAGTAATTCATTTAATGATCCTATGTGGGGAGCCCTATAGGATCCAGTGTCATCTTAGCTGCTGGTTGCTTGGACACCCCTCATGTTCCCCTCAGACACCAGGCCTGCTGCTCCATTGTTGCTCCCTTGTTTGGTGCACAGTGTATCCTTCAACATTTTCCTGAGGACGAGTGCATGGAAAGAAATTATTTTGAGGTCATACATATTTGAATATGTCTTTATTATACCTTAGATTAGGTGTAAAGTTCTAGGTTGGAGATATTTTTCCCTCAGAATTGTGACAACATAGCTTTCCATTGTCTTTGCTTTTAGGTTTGCTGTTAGAAAATTTTAAAGGCATTTTGATTTCTATTTCTGGAGTCTTTGTGTATCTTCTCTTACCCTTCTTGTATCTCTGGAAGCTTTGTAGTTTTTATAATCTCAGTCTCTAGAAATGTGATTTGTTCTGTATTCCTTTCTACATAAATATATATTAGGTTTCTTTCTGGGTTGAGTTTCTTTATGTCTGAAGAAACTTCATGTACTATGTCATTTAGTATGGAATCTGTGGGTGACAGATTCCTTCAGATTTTATCTAAATATGGCCTTCACCTTGCCTTTCTTGGTGGGGGGGGGCAATCCTAGATTTGAACAAGGGCTTTGAACTGAGGTATACTCTTATCTTTTTATTTTTTTATTTTGAGGTGGGGTCTCATGAAGTGGACCAAGCTGGGCTTGAACCTGCAGTATTCCTGCCTCAGCCTACTGCAAGCTATTTCCTTTGTATACTTTGAAACTATTTCATTATCTCATTACCTTCTGGGTTACGTTGTTTCTTTTGACAAATCAACTGCCAGTGTTACTGCTATCTTTTTAAATTTTGTTTGTAATTTTCATCTTAAAAGTTTTACTACAGCATATTTACTTAAGAGTTTCTGTTAAAGCAAAAATCATGACACTTGTTAAAGAATGTTAAAGCAGACTTTATTTAGGGACCATTGCATTGGGTCTTTGCAGCAGAGTAGAGAGACTTGGCTCAACTATGAATACAACAAGGAATAGTGGGAATTTATGACCAAGGAGCATGATTTTCTGAGAAGTTTGGTAATAGCTGGTCATAATACAGGTTACACTGTTACACTGTTCTCTTTGGATTCCCCATCCCCTTGAGAATGCTGGAATTGAACCCAGGACCTCATAGTGGTCAGTGGATGGAAAATTATGAACAGGAAACAGGAATTGGGAGATTCTGGCTAACTAGATCTAACAGGATTCTCGCTGCAGGCAGGCCTCAGGATCCGATGTTACCATGCAGATGGTGAGGACTTTGATCAGATGTGATCAGATAGGAAAGGTAGGGATTCTGGCTAAACCAATTTAGAATTCTAGCTACAACTGGACAATGTGGTGATGGAATGAAAGCCTAAAAGTTAGAGCTTGATGTGGAAGAGGATTCAAAAGCGTTTGTTCAAACTCCAGCCAGCCAAACCTGCCCTGAAGGCATTCGGAGAAAAGAAAAAAAAAAAAAAAAAAAAAAAAAAAAACCAGTCTTTGGGGGCCTGCCCCTTAGCTCAGTTCTTTAAGTGGCTGCTTTGACAAAAGCGTTTGGCCAAGGAAAAGATCACTTCCCATTATTTACTGTATATACCTGGCCTTTGTATATTCTTCTTCCTGAGAGTGTGCTGAACTACCTGGCCTGTCTCAATTTTTGTTTTTTTGATACAGGGTTTTGCTGTGCAGTTCAGGCTGGCCTTGAATTCATTATGTAGCCCAGGCTGGCCTCAAACTCTCAGCAATCTTACTGCTTCAGCCTCCTGAGTTGACATGTCTCTAAAGAATTGAAGATGACAGAATGATGGATGTCAGTTCCAAGAGCAGATGATGAAAATATTGTGTCTTCTGTCTAGAGGGCGGTGTCTCTCTGTCCTTGTGTTACTCACCCTGGGTGCAGCCAGTTGCCATGCTGTGGATTAGCCATGGGAAGTGGCCCTCCAAAGTGTTGGAGGCACAGCTTGCTTTAGTCAAGCTTTAGCATGCTGTAGCCAGAGTGAAAACTTCACCTGCTGCCTTGAGAGAGTCTAACCAGAGGCAAGCAGCTAGTCCACTCTGGAATTCATGACCTATTCTGAAATAAGAAGCCTACAAATATACATATAAATATAAATGAGATAATACTAGATGTATATGTCATTGTATGTGATACCCATTTTTTGATGTGGTGCTGAGATCAAACCCAGGGCCTTTATGATCTAGGGAACATTGCACTACATCCCTTGCTCCCATTTATTTATCTTTATGTTTTATAAATCATATGCATTTTTATTTTATTTTACTTTTTTTTTTTT